AAACCTAAACCCTGGCCATAAATAAACCCCAAACCCCAAACCGGGGCGTGAGACTCTCCAGAGTCTGTTTTAAAAGTCTTAGGGTTTAGGGTTTAGGTTTTGGGGTTTAGGGTTTAGGATGAAGGGGCTTGCACAAAGTGGGAGGTTCTAGTATTTTAGGGTCTACATGGGGAGCCCCCCTGAATGTTTGGCAACCCCCATAATCATACTTGAGATCCCTACAACCCAAAAATGTGATATAAGACTCTTAAAGTGATATCGCTCCACTCTTCCCATTTCATTCGTAAGGAGACTTACACCATAAGCCCTGGCCGAAGCCTTGAATCTAAGGTTGTGAAGTAGATTGTTGTAGGATGTATGCTCGATAGATAGGGACCCTGAAGCTACGGGCCCACGCTAAAGGCCCAATGTTTCAACCGAAGACCGCGCAAGGTCTGCAACTTTTCCTTGGCGGAACTTCGGGTGGTCCACGACCGCCTTCGTTCTGTCCATGGCCTGCCGTTGAGCACTTGCCAGGCAAAACCCGGGCTGGCGGGGTGGGTTCAGGGTTTAGGGATTAGGGTGTAGGGTTTAGCGGTGATATTGGAAGAGTACGTATAGCAGTAATGGTAACGGGAAAAGAGTGGGTTGTAATAGGGATAGTAATGGCCATAGTTCTAGTAGCTACCTTCATTAGTACAAGTAGTGTGAGTAGTGGGAGCGGAGGAGGAGGGAGAGTCTGGAGTCCTAATACCTAAACCCTAAGCCCCGAAACCCTGCCTGAGGGCAGCAACAAGAACAGGTGCTGCTGAAGCAACGCAGAGGTCAGGTGCTGCTGGTAGTTCAGGGGTTTCGGATTCTAGGGTTTAGGCTTTTGGGGGTTTAGAGTTTAGCGTTCAGGGTTTGTACGAGAACAGAATAGAATTGGCTGGGGGCAGTAAATGCGCCGCAGCTAGCACAAATGTATTGATCTCAAACTTCTCAGTTCCTTCCTGGTCATGCAGATCCCTGATTGCTGCACACCATACCTGACAGGGCGCTCTTTCGCGGATCCGATTCTAAGAGAAGCGTTCATCTATCAAACCTTCGATTCCCTTGCCGAAAGATCATTGACTGTTTTAGTGTTCAAAGGCGGGGCCCTCAAACCCTAAACCCTAGAAAAAAGGGAGGAAAGCGAAGTATGGGCCCCCCAGTACGCGCGCTTCATCCTGGGATCCTTGCATAATTAGGCTCTACCTTAGGTCATTCCCCCAATTCCAGGAGTTGTGGTAGCCCCTTAATACAGCCCTTTTAAGGATAGCTACTACTTACCGTCACTGTATGCAGGAATGTCCCAAGATCTACCCTTGAAACCCACTATTCGGTGCCACGAACCCTAAACCCTGAACTTTGAACCCTAAACCCTGAACCCGAAACCCTAAACCCTAAGAAAACCAGCTGCATGCTGGAGCAGGTAGAGCTCTCGCTGCTGCGACAGCTGCCTGTGTCTTCGGGTCTTGCAGGGAGCCAAGTGATCATTATTTCAAAGGATCAATAACAACTAACCCTAAACCCTAAACCGTGAACCCTAAACCCTAAACCCGTGTTGTATAGCTGGGCTAGGTGCAAGTATTTCTAGTGCAGAAGTCCTGAAGAATGAGCCCTACACTGCAAGTTTCGGGTTCTAAGAGCTAAGCTTGTGTTTGCTGGACCCAGCATCAGCATGGCTTCCAGGTTTAAGAAATGATTCAGAGGACTGAACTACAAATGCTTGAGGCTTAAGCCCTTCAGCTGCAAGCACTAAGCCCCGTACCAACATGCCCAAAGATGCTTCCCGAGGATGTAGAAACCTGGTGAAAGCGGCGGTTTCGCTGAGGGCAAGGGTGCGTGTACGTATTATTTAATCCTGAAGCTTGTCCTACCTTTATAGCATCTCAAGCAGGAAGAGTCTTCCCAGTATGTTTAGGGTTGGGTTTAGGTTTTAGGGTTTAGGGGTTTATCAATGTTCCTACTCTGAAGCTGCAGTGTAATGGCACAACCGGCAATTTCTCCGAACCATGCAGACTCCTACGTAGATCTGTACATTTGCCAGCGTTTCTGCTGATGGAAGAAGAGTCTACGCAACCCCAAGAAGCGCAAGTCACATGAACTGAAATCTCAGATGTTGCAACATTTCCTCGCTCCTACAACCTTTACATCCCTATAACCCTGGACCTATCTTTCAACCCTTCATTTGTGCCTGCAGCACCCAGGTGAACGGCTGCCGCGAGCTGGGTGTGACGGTAGGGGACTCGGAAACTTTGGGGACTAGGGTTCAGGGTCTAGGGCTGAGCCCCAAATGTTGGGGTTCTCTTTTCGGGCGTCTCTACAAAGAATTGTTTTGTATTCCGACCCGAAGTTTCCAGAGTTGCGGAGACGTCTATGTGAGTTCTAGGCTTACCTTCATTACCGCCAGTGTTCATAACGGTGGTGTAGTAGGCTAACTGTTGGTTGCCCGTGTCGCGAGTTGTCACAAACAGGGGGAAGATATTTCTCCATACGAAATGCAGTGATGGATGCACGCAGCGAAGCTTTCATGCCGTGACAGTAGCTGAGAGTCTGGCATCCTGACTCTGACTTGTAGCTAAGAAACTTAGATTAAGTTACCATAATTCTGAAACCATATCATCTACTTTAGATATCCATATGATAGTAACTAAACATAGATTTAGTTACCATAAGTCTGAAACCATATGATTTAACTTATGTAGCCATATGATAGTGACTGAAGTTGAGTTCTTGAACAGCAGCCCAACAGTGAATTGAATCCCTACAGCAATCGGTAGCTTTATCTGTGCCCTGCGCCACATACCAAAGATGGAATCCTCAGAATGGATAGTGGGTACCAGAGAGGCTTGTCCTTTCAAAATTCGCTCTCGTGTGGTGGTGGTATCTTAGCTTGCTAACGGTAATAGTAATAGTAATAGTAGTAGTAATAGTAATAGCAAGAGTAATATTAGTAGGAATAAGAGCAACATTCATAGCCATGTTAACAGTAATAGTAACATTATGAGTAATAGTGATATTAATAGTCACAGGGTGGTGCTTCTAAGTCACCCAGCTTTTCCAGCGAAGGTCTTGGCGTTCTCGCCTCTGGCCATGGGTCGTCTCAGCGGGCGGTACGCCGCCTCCTTAGCTTCAATGGTCTGCTCTTGCATATCTTAGGTTGGTTGGGGTGTGTCAGAATTGTTTATTTGGGAACAGATTCTGCAGGTCGCTATGAAGGATGCTATGGAGGGTCTCATGGATGAAGAAGTTCACTTGTCTTCTTGCCAGCCATGACATTGGGCTTCCCAGTCCATTTGTCGACAATCGCTTCTAGTTCAGCGCTGGTGTAGGTTTGAAGTACACCAGCTTGATTCGGGCCATGGCGCCCCGCCGGTGCAAGTGCATCTTTGGGCTCTGCTTCGTTGCTACCCTCCTCTGGACGTTCGCACCCAACAGCTTTGTGAATTCTGGCCCTGCGTCAAAGCCTGCCTTGCGCCAAACGAGCGCTGTTAGAGGCCTGGTTTCCAGGGAGAGCTTCCAGAACCCTCTGGCGGGCCCAGATGGCAAGATTGACCAGAAGAAGGTGGGGTTTCCCAAAATTAGTGTGACTTTTTTGCATTTAGGATTGTAGTATTTTGTGGTTTATATTGGGTCATTGAGAAAAACTACCAGGTCGAGGAAGCCTTGGCTACAGGCCTGGACATTGCGAAGAACGTGATCTTCGCACTTTTTGACATCTTCAAGGAGCCGCCCCGAGAGTCCACAGGGAAGGATGCTCCTGGCCTCGTAGCTTTGGGCAGCGATGGGGTGCTTGGGGCCCTGAAAGGTAGCGAGGTCCTGTCAGTGAAGGACAGCTCCGCAAAGGATGCAGCAGCCCTTTGCACTTCCCCCGGGGGTCTCGCTGTATTCTTCCTCACACACTTCGGGGACTTCAACTCATGGGAGGTGGCGCAGCAACTGCGGACTGCCATCCGCGAGAATCGCACGGGCTCTGCCCGTGTGGTGATGGTGGGGATCGGGTCCGTGGAGTCGGGCAAGCTCTTTGCAGAGCAGCTGGAGCTACCCCCGGCCTTAGAAGTCTATGCGGATCCCACCGGCGCGTGCCACCAGGCTCTAGGCTTCAGCACAGGGGCTCTGCCGCAATACAAGGCCGGGGTCACCTTTAGGTTGTTCATATGAGGGAACCCACCTTCATCCCATCCCACCAACAGATACCTTCCGACACAACTCTTAATGAAGACTCCCGATGTAGTATATATTATAGTTTTGCGGGAAAATCTGCTATAAGAGGGGCCAGGGGTTTTCTTATGAGGGGCGGGGATCATGAAAGTTTTCCACCAGCTTCTAAGAGACACGGCAGGAAAGCTTGAACTCCTAAACCCTAAACCTTAATCCATACAACAGGAGAGCTTGAACCCCTACTTCCGGGTGTTCCTGATGCTTCTGGGCGTCGGCTCCCCAGGGACAATCCGGACGGTTCTGGGCGGTTACTTCGGGAACGCGGACCTGGCGAAGGAGGAGAGGAAATCTTGAAATTTTCTGTGGATCATAACTTCCCCTGAATACCCCCAAAAGCCATGTCACCTCCATATCAGAACCTATACCGCTATAGCAAACTTCATCTATGACTCAGGAGACTTCCTGGGTGGATGAGGCGCTGAAACAAGGTGCCAAACAGGGCCGCTTCCCAACCTCCGCACCTCGTCAATTTCAACTATTTTGTATGATATGAGTTCTCATGGGGTTATGAAGGGGTCATCTACAATCCAGGTGAGACCCTTTAAACCAACTCCTAAGCCCTAGAACCCAAGCCCTAAGAAAGAAGATGCAAGGTGCCGAGGCGGCTGCCCTGGGAAGACAAGCCCACAGATGGCCCAGAGTGGCTTACTGGTTCTCAGCAGGGAAGAAGGGAATCTATTATATAGGGAATATATTCTCTTATTCCCCATATCACCCCTATGTAGTATATTCCTTGATTCTCTTTTCAATTCCTATACAATATATTTCCTTATTCCCTACTAAGAACCAGTAAGGTGGGCCGACCTTGCAACTGCGGGCTCCGAGGCAGGTTGCCTTCTCGAAATCCCCACTCTTTTTGAAATGGTTTGGGGGCCCCTATAATAAGGATTATAGTAGAAAACATTCGGTCTATATTTGGGTCCCCTAATTTGGGAAGTTACCATACAGGATGGAGGGTCTCATGCTTAGTTGGGACTTGGGAATGAGGGAGCGGGTTGTGGGCACTGTGACAGGGATGATTGTAGTGTGTCAGCTACAGTGCTTCGTGCCACGATTCCGAAATAAGTAAGCATGAGCGAGAATCATGAGCACATGGCAAGCACTTGCACAGGGACATGTAATGCTCAAACTCTACACCCCAAACCCCAGACCCCAAGCCCTAAACCGTACACCCTAAACCCCCGAAACCTAATCCCAAACCCCTAACCCCAAACCCTACACCCTAAACAGGGGTAATACAGAAACTCAGAACCCAGGTTCCCTTCTCAGGCTCTCTCAAGGGCTTGGTTTTGAATCGGAAGCCCCAATTCTTGAGCTCTGAGCCGCCAAGCCGGTTTAGGGTTAGAGGTTAGGAGGACCCCCCCCACCCTGTAATGGTGGTATAATAGGAATACAAGAGGACCCTTAAGTAATCCTTGTTATCCATAATAGTCACTATTGCTGGGTGGGGGTCCACCTAAGTTCGAGGTTAGGGTTTAGGGCTAACCCCAAACCCTAAATCCCTAGACCTTCTACTCTTGCGACAATATACCCAAATCAACCTAAAACCTGACCCTTATAGCCTAAACCCTAGACCTTGCACCCTAAACCCAAATGAACCTGGAACCTAACCCCTCTAGACTAAAAACCCAAATGAACCTAAAACCTAACCCTATATGCAGGTGTGGAGTAACCGTGGCTTCGGCGAGACTGGGCTTAGGCCCTTTGAGTTGGCGACGGTGCGGCTGCAAAACATGATTCTTGCCTTTATTTGGGGGTAAGTAGAGTCATATAAGGCCATGGTCTAAACTCCTTAAATGGGGGTTATATGGGGATTATATGGGGGACTACAAAAGGGGCTATGATGCTTGCCTTTGTTTGGGGTTAGATAGAGTCATAATATGCGGCTATAGAATAAGGAAGGTTTCGGGTTTGTTAAATGGGGTGTATAACCCAGGGATATATGTTTGGGGTTACAAGGTTGAGGGTTCAGCTGTTGGGGATGTTTGGGTTAGAGGGTTCGGGGATTAAGAGTTAGGGTAATTAATTGTTTGGGAAGGGTTGAATTTAGAGTTCATGTTGTGGGGTTTGGGTTTTCAGGGTGTAGGCTTTTGGCTTGTTTTGGTGGGTTCTAGGGTTTCGGGATTACGGCCTTAACTCCAAAAACCTACCAGTAAACCCTAAACTGGCTCTAAACCCTAAACCTCAAAAGTTTCCGTTTTCTTTTCCAGTATCCCCTATATAACCCCAATATAACCCCAATACAGCCCCAATATAACCCCAATATACTTAGACCTTAAACCCTAAATCCTAAAAACCCTGAACCCTAGAAACCCTAAATCCTAAAAACCCTAAACCCTAAAAACCCCAAACCCTAAAAACCCCTAAAACCCCCTTGAGGGTGGGTGGCATCATTGCCAATTGGGGCAGCCTGAAGCCGGCAGACGACGAGCTCCTGGTCCAGCAGGGTGGTGCAGTCGTCTTCGACAAAGGGGAGGTGCCTCAGGGTTTATAGGGTTTATAGGGTGCCTGATCAGGGTTTATAGGGTTTATATGGTTTATAGGGTTTATAGGGTGCCTGATCAGGGTTTATAGGGTTTATAGGGTTTATAGGGTTTATAGGGTTTATAGGGTGCCTGATCAGGGTTTATAGGGTTTATAGAGTTTATAGGGTTTAAAGGGTTTATAGGGTTTATAGGGTGCCTCAGGGTTTATAGGGTTTATAGGGTTTATAGGGTTTATAGGGTTTATAGGGTTTATAGGGTTTATAGGGTTTATAGGGGTTATAGGG